CCCCCCCCCCCCTCCAAAAAAAACAATCTACCTTTTCCAACGCCAGCTATCCAAAACAACTCCAAGTCCAAACTCAGTACAACTCAGGTACCTACACAGGGCGGAGACCCAAGGTCCGAGAGGCAGAAAGCATGTCCATGAATCTTGTCCAAAAACAGACTTCCTCGTTAAATTGAGGCCTGCTGTGGAAACACTTTCGGGGAATTGTTGATCGTTGGTTCCAGCTGGTTATAAGTATCATTAAGTGCAAGAATGTTCGAGTATGTTGACACACATGTCTAAGACTCTAGTTAGTGGGTTATGAATAGATTCGGATGCCAGCTACATTTATTTATCAAGCTGACAGACCTGAAAGCCTATCAAGGCAGCGTCTAGTTAACACTCGTCGAACATTCGATGCACACGCGAAGTGCAACCATGACTGCATCACTATAAGCTTGCAAGAAATGAAATCGTTTCGTGAATGCTATGGCATTTCCAAGCATTCACCACACCCCACCCCACCCCCGCCCCGGCCCGCCCAGCCCAGCCCGGCCCACTTAATTTCAAATCCTGAATCGTAGGACGTCACCCTTCATATAAACACTAAACTGTAAAACCCCGGATCCTAGACTCTTGCAGCTGCCTGATGTTAAGTAAATATGCACCAAGTCACTAGGGTGGGGTGGGTGGGGTACAGAAATGTGTATACATATATATATATACACGTACACATGTAACTATGTATGTATAGCTTTAATGCTATTTGTAGGCATATGTGAGTGCACATGAGTGCTCTTGTACAGTCTAAGCACCCATTGAAACAGTATTTGGTCGACTTGAGATAATGAAAATAGACTGCAACCCCTTGCATGGCCCAGGCTGCGATACACTTAAACCTCGGAAGTTCGATCTGTACCAAACTTTCAGAAAACAATGCCTCGATTGCTCTGCCGCAGTGCGGCACGAAGTAGGTCCTTGGCAGACTCCGCTGGGAGACGAGGTTGCTCGGCTGTGTCGGGGATTCGGGTATAGGATGGGGCCACGGTTCAGGGCTTGGGGTTTCGACACTTACAGTCAGATGGTATATACCCTCAGTAAGTAGTAGTGAAGGCTGCTTGCTCAGATTGCTGTTGCTAGTACTGCTACAGCAACATAGCAATGACAGTGACGACAGTCAACAGTGCGAAAAGGAAGTGAGAACACGTAAAACTTCAAATTGCTATACGAACTTGCCGTAATATGTTACAACTCGACAAGGCACTCCCACGATGTTTCGTGGCTACTGTGAAGATGTACCAGAATCTTCTGCAGCCCCACCGAACTGCTGCAACAATGCTCGCAGTCTTGCGGCAATCTATGATTCACTGATGCTCAATCTGTACCTCCCAAAACTAGGGCCCTAGGCTGGCAAAACACACAAAGCGGATTGCCTGCCCAGGCGCGACAGAAGGAACCCCAGCAGTGCCGCTGACACAGCCAAAGGATCCTTCTTCCGGAACGTTCTTGGAGCTGAAAGTGCTCGGGTCTCTGCTAGTGCCAGGTGTTTTAACAGTTTGGCTAGGCCACGGACTAGGGGCACGGCAGTAGCATCGCATGAAGGGCTACAGCGGGACTGCGAAAAGAACGAGATATCTTCCAAAATGTGCGAGCCACCGACGGCCGTGCACGCCTGTGAGGGGGCCTGCCGGGCGCGCCTCCGCTTCACGGACCCCCGGTACCCTGAACATAAGAACCCTGGCTGGAGTGCTACTATGTGCTGACTCACTGTTCTGGGAACTTGATAGGTGGACTGGAAGCCTTGGTCAGTTCCACGGGTACCGGATGCCTTAGGCCCAAGCACCGACAATTGCGAGCCTAGGTCTAGCGCCCTTCCTGCCAGCCAAACCGACGATCGCCAGACCTAAGCGAGCACTCACAACTCACGTCCCTTGGCACACCCAGGCGAGGTTGCAAGCTCTGAGCTCACCCACTGAATCCAGCTAGCCCTCGGCGGAAATCTCAAAGCTTAGAAAACAAACACCAAAACCCCCAGCTCTGTGAATTGGAGCTCAGGGTTCAAGGGCTGCTACCCTGATCCAACAACCTAGCTCCGTCTGCAGACTGAGTAGGGCTTTGGGGCTGAAGCCACTTCGGGCACCAGCAAAGCCTAACATCTGCAGAGGACATGGGACTACCACATTAAATTAACTCCCTGAGGTCAGTGGCGAAGAAAGAAGTAACTTAAGAAGTATGTATGCACACCCCGGAAACAGCTGAGGCCGGTCCCCCAAAAAGCCATAAATCCGAAGTCAACTAGAGATGTTTGAAGATAGCGATTGGAGTGGATGCTTCATGCTGCTTCAGTTTGGTCACCTGCATTCAGCTTAAGCGAGGGCGCAGCGCTGTTCATGATCATACTGGCTCAACATAGCCTGAACCCACACGTGAGAACCCTGCAGCCTGAGCGTAATCATTACGGGCAAGAGCCATCTTGTGTCGTTTCCGGCCCGCCTCTTCATCAGCAGCACATACATGCTGCCACCTTCCAGGCCAGCAGCAACATGACGGGCCATGCTTAAGGTTTCAGGGTGCAAAAAAGTGCCGCATCCTAACGGCCCAAAATCCCTACATCCGTCACCCAAAGCCAGCTACAGGCCTCCGAAGGCCGTGAGCATGGCGCCAGCTAGGCCCCAAGCCACCCACTCCGTGCCTTCGAATTGGGCTTTGGGGAGTTGTGTGGTGAGCTTTCAGGCATTTCAGAATGCGGGTGTGTGTTCTTCCTGCTTGTCGGGATAGGGAAAAAGGGTGTTCCATCTCAAAGGCGATCCAACGCGCTGCAGGGGTTCTACGAGTCTGGGAGGGAAGGATAAGTGGGGTCTATAATGGCTTCACGCAATGGGTTACAAGGGTTTTCTGCATATTCCCTCTCGCTTTCGGTAAGTACGCGCTTGTCAAGTCTGCAGCTTCACCAAGTCGGGTCTTTGCCTAGCCTGGTGCCTAATTGCAAGTCTAGGGTGCCAAGCTTGCCGGCCAAGATACGGCTACAGCTTTCAGGGTCCGAGGGTTTCGTGGAAGATTCGGGAGGATTTGATTCTTCGAACTTTCACCTTGTAGTATGGTTTGACTTAACTGCGCGGGTAGACAATGCCAATCAATATACCGAGTACCCCGAAAGTGTTCGAAGCAGCGCGGTAACACCGAATGTCATCTCATGCATCCATCCGTTCATCTACGACGCATCGACCAGAAACCCTTCTACCAACACTTTCAAAGCAACCGTCTATAAACCCCTTGAAAGAACCCTTCTCATGCTTTCCCCCCAGTGTACTGGCGGGATTCAGGACGACGGCCGAAGCGCTTCCCCCGATAGACTGGCGGATTCAAAGACATGCCCACGATGACTCTATGACTGTATTCAAGAGCACGGCCAGAAGCTTGCCCACAAGTACTGCCGGGATTCAGAGACAGCACCAAAGTTCTTCACCCCATGGATTGGCGGGATTCAGAGACAAGAAGACCAAAAAGCTTCCTCAAAGAAACTGGCGGAAGTTCACGCATTTCGAGCTTAACGTCAAAGCCGCACCACACACACAGCGAACGCGCCGCATCCAACGAGAGGGTTCCCAGTCGGAGGCAAACATGCGCTGGAGTAGTCAACTATGACTCACGTTTACAGACATCACATCATGCCATCCAAACAACATCGTCACATCGCCCCGTCCCTGGCGGCGGCCAGGGTGCATTATCATTAATACCTTACACAAGGGTTCAGTTGGTCTTGGGGAGATTCCCATGAATGCAGCCGGGGCTCTGGGAAACACGGGGCCCGGATATTTCAAGTGCATGCAGCGGCCGCCAATGTAGCCGCAAATGGCCAGCGAAACGAGATCCTTTGCGGCGATCCAAGCACTGATCAGCCGAAATCAGCCTCGGCATCATCACTGGGCTGCCACCACCACCACCACCACCCCATCATCGTCACCATCACCAACGCCAAATATCAACACGGAATGTAATGGTTCAGAACTTGTCGGTCATAATGGGTACGTCCGCTAAAGGCTGACGACGAGGAACAACTTGTGACTAATTCTTAATGCCTTCCATTGTGTAGGCTCGACATAGTAGCATGACGAACAGCTTGCTGCTGGCATTCATGCTGATTCATGCTTCAGGGCTTTACCCCCATTTCACCCAGCAAGATACCCCTCGATCCCACTATTCCTCATGTTGTAGGCTCAGGCAGGCATTCGGTAAATCAGAGTCTCGCATCCCCGACATGCATCCGTTCATGATGTTTGTGATATTGCTACCATCATCTACCATCGTCTTTGTTCTCACTTTTAATTTTGCTCTGGTTATATTTTGCCGACCCCATGACAGGCAGGGCGCCGACTCGACATGTGAAAGGATGGCCGGAACATGCTCGACCACCTCCTCTTTGGCCGCCATGGCGGGTGCATGGGGCGAGGTGGTCTCACGTTGAAGGCTTCGGGTTTCGAGTTCAAGTTGAAGGCTCCTGCAGGCCGAATCTTAAGCATCCTCGGTCACACAAAGGGCTGCCGCTTCTGGTGTCTGACTTTTAAAGTTCTGCTTCAAGAAACTCCCTCACTGAACTAGATCTGCAACCCCGTAAGTCAATTGGCGCCAGCTTCAGGCAGTTCATCGTACGCTCCCAGTCTGAGAGCCAATCGACGGCCTGGTGACGGCCTGCTAAAGGCCTACAGGATTTTGGACTCACGCAGCAGGAAGGCACTGGCGGCTACAATGCCGTACATACACTGCCTTTGTCCGCGGGTGGGTCTTGCACTGGCTACCGCAGCAGACCTTAAACTCATACCAGCAAGCTCGAAAATCGCTGACTAGTGCACAGACCTCACACTGTCACTGGCGGTAGTCAGTAGTGTTTGCTGGCTCCTACGAGTTTGCTTGTCTGGCCTTCATGATCCTTGCAAAGCAGTCGGGCTGAACGAGCATGGAGCCCTGAAAAGCCTAGGAACCGTGAAGCCATCCAGTACTTGTCATAAACCGGTTGTCGTTATCGGTTTATTTGCCTCTTTATGGTATGTCTGGATTATGGTATGTATGGAGTCTGTATGAGATTAGAACTCGCACCTTCTGCAGCAGAACGCATAGAAGCTACATACCTAGACAGAAATTAAACTCGTGGCAACCGTGATAAACTGCGAAAGCAAGTGTGCTGTTAAATTGAGGAAGTCGTGAGGTCGCCGTAGAACCCTGAGACGCACCGTCCTCACCAAAACTAGGTTGCAACAGCTGCAGCGTGCCGGCCTGAACCCTGGATCTCGCTTCGACAAGCAACTGCTAATGCGACTGGTGCATCTATCTTTCAAGCCTCATACGGATCGATCGGTGTTTTTTGGGTGCCGTAGTTTGTTGCGTGCTTTCCAGAAGCTCGAGCTGCAGCGCGCTCTTCCGTGCTGCTACGCCAGTGTAGCTTCTCCAAGAGACCTTCAACAGACAGTATCGAAATTTGCGCGTCTTGTCACTTGCTGGCTGTCTAGTGCCGTGTAGAAAACCTAGCTACGACATATCGCAACTACCACTTTTCGACAAGGCGATCTGCTTTTTCCACCTGCCGCAGGCACCGGGGCTTGCTGTTCCTGAAGGTTTCAACCCAGTGAAACCAGCGAGCACTTAACTCGCAAAGTCTAAGCCTTTCCGCTACAGCTGGCTCAAGCTCTTGGCTCGCTAGCAAACCGCTTGGCAATCGTGGAAGCAGCCCCAGGAACTTTAGCTACTGCCCAGGGTATATATTCAAGCACACATGGCCCTGAGCCAAACCGGATCGCTCCCTCCTTCAGCCATACACCAGTTCAAGCTCACCGGCTGCTACACCCAGCTACAAGGGACAAGGGCTCTTCTAGACTTCGACCCACACTATAGAGAGGGTTTACTAACTTATTTAATTGCGGTCTGCAAGATTTTGGCTTTTCATGCCCTGTGATCACTTGCCGTCTGTCCGGGGTCGCGCATCTGGCGGAGGCCCTCCCACCAGAAAGCTGTCCTAAGAGCGGTTCCCGAAGCGTCAGGAAAGAACGGTTTAGGGTTTCAGCACATTTTAAATTTCAGGGTTCTTGATGCAGCCCAGTTATTGAATTCGAGGCTTTCAGGCACTGATGGAGCTGCGCTGGAGGCTCCTCGTCGACTTTCGCATTGTCATTTAGATAGATTCGGAGAACATTCACGAAAACGGTCGTAAGCCTGACCAAGGAACAAGACCACGCTACAGGACCCCGCAAAGCAGATTCGGCCCTGGTCCGGTGCCCAGGGATGGGAGAACCGGAGATTTGAACCCTCAGGTTGCGAGGCAGGGTTGTGGGTTTCGGTTGAGGTTGTCAGGCTTTGACTTTGGGAATCACAATTCCCTTAAGCCAAAGGGTTTGTGTTCGGTTTTGACGGTGAACTTCAGTGGAGGGTCTCATGTCTCATGGGTTTTTCAATGAGCCTACGAGTCACTAACGGAAATGTGTGGTTTTTGTCCAGCAGCTCGATCCAAGCCCTGGGGCCCAGAAATCTTCAACCAGCTAACAAACGCCGAAACTTGTAAGCCCGCGGATGCGCAGGAAAACCCGAACCAAACCCAGCAAGGTGCCGTCAAGCGTGGTCCAAAGCATGCGTAGCACCCCAGCCGAAGAATGGCGAACTCCGATCTCTTTATGGTTGCTGTATCTACCTTCAATTAAAATGACCACTGCCATGGCTCCGGCAATAGTGCAGCTGCACCGGCGCCGCCACCCGACCAGCCCAGCATTGCGGAGTCCTTAACTTGGCCGTCGTGGCACCAGGTCTGAGGATCCGCGCCCTTCAAGAATCGGAGCTTACTCTCAATCCTGGTGTAATATGTCTAGTGCACCTAACATCTCAAAAGCAAAACCTGCGCGAGATATCAAGTGGAAGCATGCTCCTCACAAGGAGAGCTGCTGGACTATAAGTTGTTCATGCATTCCTGTGTCACCAAACGTAAGTACGGCCCGACTGCTTCGTTCGTGGTTTAACCGCGAAGGTCTTGCTTGACTCATAGGCTGCGTGCACAATCCGAGCGTAGAGTTTCGAGCTTTTGCGCCTCAACATGGGACATCTACCTGTTTTGACTGCTGAGCCCCATACGCACTTCAAATCTGAAAGGTCTCGAGCTCCCCTAAAACCTGAAGCCCCAAGAGAAACCCTCAGTGGGGCCACGCTGCGCACAGCATGCCTTCCGACGGGCAGCCTCCCACTGTCGCTTTGGCCTGGGTTTGGGCCGGGCTTAAGGATACAGGCACTTTTCGCTACGCTTTCAGAACTTGGAATCACCACTTCCTCCGCCTTCTTCCATGTCGGACGTTTTCAGATGAGGCGTCATCACACGACCACACTCGGAAAACGCGGCAAGGTCTGCAATGACTCAAGGTCTAGTCTTGGGCTGAGGTCTTAGGGCTGGACCGCGGAGCACATCCCGGGGCTTCAAACGTGGGATAGAAGAAAGAATACTCACGACACGGCAGCACTCGAAGCCCAAACTCAACTTCAAACAGCCGCAGGGCCAGGGGTTCGTCATTCACGATGGCGCCAACTTTCGCCACAACCACTCTCGAGCCGTCCTGCGAATTTGGCACTCAGACTCGGATGATGTACAGTAGGGGTGATCGAATGAGAATGGCTTGACGGTCAGGGAGTGGTACCAGGTGGTCACACCCCGGACAAGGCAACAGCAAGGTTTGATCACGGTTTATTAATGTCTGCAGACAAAAACCAACTGTGAGGAGCCCTTGCTCTCGGAGTCTCACGTCTGCAACGTGAAAGGTGAAACCGCCTGCAGGTGAACCGCTTCAAGTACGCGTGTCAACTCACTGCAGGCTGTCCAGAGGACGAGTCTTCAAATGAAAGCAGGCAAAACAGGTAGTTAAAGCCCAGGGACAGCGCAATTCTGTACTGCTGCCCCTATCGGGGGCTAGCGACCGACGTGTGCAGCATCTGTTCTTGCTCCACTTTGTCAGAGTGATATCCACTCGCAACCTTGGCATCAAGCTCGACCTTCATGCTGTCCTTGATGTAGGTATCAGGAAGGTCCACACGCTTCACCACCTGGATGCCAGCTCCAGTGATTGCCTCATATTTCTCATTGCTCATAGAGCACAGAAGATCGATGCGTCGGATTCCCATCCAGTTCAGGGCGTCCGGCATCATGGTCTGGAAACGCGCATCTCGGATGCCGGCAATGGCTTCCGTGTGGTGGAAGTACATCTCGGGGCGATCCCCACCGTCTTGATTCACACGGGCATTGTACACCCTGAACTTGATCACTTCACCAAGGCTGCGACCCTCCTTCCTGAAGTAGATCACGACACCAACCCCACCCCGCTGGGCACACTCGACAGCCTCGCGCAGTGCGAAGATGAGGTAGGGCCGGCAGCTGCAGATGTCGCTTCCGAAGACATCCGAGCCGATGCACTCATCGTGCACGCGAACGCACACCTCTGTTTGTTCATCCTTGAGCTTCCTTGCATCACCGAAGGTGTAGATTGTGAGCCCACCGACAGCAGGAAGATAGGTCTTCACGTTGGGGTCCAGCAGCCGGCTGTCGTGGGAGAACTTGTGCAGGGCTTCCCGCAGCTCTTGCTCACTGAGGCCCACCCTCTCTGCCATGAGAGGAATGTTCCAGGCATAGCTGATGGCACACTTTGACGTGACAATCTCATTCGAGGGCAGGACGATCTTGCCATCGATGCGCAAGTCTTTGAGCTCTGGAATATCCAGCTTGGCCTTGCAAGCTGCAATGGTGGGAGGATGTGCTGTCATGCCCAAGGGGTCAAAGGTAGAGATGCGATCCCAATCCCTGTGAGTCGCTGGGTCGTCAATCAGCTCCTTGAACTCCGGCAGGTAGAACTCCGCCTCTGTTCGAGTCTTGTACCATTCCTTCAAGTCGACGCCTGCCTTGGCCTCAGCGATGCCCCAGTAGGCAGCATGGTCCCAACCATAGCATCCTGCATACACGCCCGCCTCAAGATCATCATGAACATCTCTCCAGCTGTAGCCTGTGGCCGGGTCATTGCGGCAGATGCGAGGAACCAAGCTTCCCTGACTTTGCCGCGGCGAGTTGCATCCACAGGCCCCGAACGCATCTTTGCAAAGTCGAGGGACGAGATGCGCAGACAAACGGGCGGCACGACGGTCTGGCCGAGACATGCCTGCCAAAAGAGTCTTGAACTGTGAAAGAGTTGGGCTTGTCGGTCAGCGATTGCCTCGAGCCAAAGTGGCTACGATCTGACTTTCACGGCCGAGGACCTTACTCCCACACATCTACCGGCTCCAACAATCTCGATCAGGAAGCTGCGAAGCTGCGCAACATGTCCTTCACGTTCGAAGCGTTCGTGACAATTTTCAGCGGAGCTGACTCTCCGACATCCACTTCCAGCTTCTTTAGCTTGTCCTCAGGTCTTATTCCAGCT